TGTTCATGGCAGATTATTTTATTGAGAGTGGTTTGAGTAGGTAAATATAATTTTTTTTTTTATTTCGTATGGTGCATCATTGTACAAACTTTTAATACAAATCAGCAACAGATGAAGCAAATAATTTCGCGGTACGGTTTAATAACAGTGAAAGTAATACATGAATAATTCTAAGAATTGCGAGTAAGAGGCAAGTTAAACGAAGATAATTATTAAAATATTAACAGAAAATTTCCATTTTCATAACATCATGGTTGTAGATAGTCACAGTCACGGTTTCACAGCTTTTGTCACTCTTCCTTCTCCTTTCTTATTGCGAAAACCTCCATTTCGCAAATTGAACAGAAATGTTATTTCTACACATTATTTTTCACACCATTTCGAGCGTAATAGGATTCCCGAGTGTCGGATTTTCGCGAACTGCTGCATATGCACTGGTTGCTGGAATGCGCGAATTTCGCGATAAAAATATCTATGTATGTCAACTGTTTAAGTTTATAATTCTTCGACTATAACTTGTTGTTGCCGATATGTAATCATTCGTAGAAAAATTGCAGATATTTCAGCGGATCTACAGAGAGTGTATCAGGAAAATTATTATACTTTTATGCAGTGCCGGATTTACGTATGAGCTAAAAACGTTATTGTCTTTATTTCAATATTTCAGCGCAACGTTAGTTACAAAATATTAAGTTTCGGTATAATATCAATCAGTGCCGGATTTACGTGTAAGCTAACAAAGCTACAGCTTAGGGCCTCGCAATAAAAAAACAAAAAATATAAAAATTGATAAAAAAACATCTCGTAGAAAAATCACTCAAATGAAGTCAGACATATCACTATGATAATTTGTAAATAATTTTGAATATACAGAATATAACATTAAAATAATGATCGAGATGTTTTGTCTTCTTTTTTTTCAAAAGCATTTATTTGAGAGTTTTCAAAATGTCGGCTAACTTCAAAGGGTATCTATCCAATAAGATTAATTTTTCATATACTACCAATTATGTTGTTACATTAATTTAATTTTTACCTTTCATTTTCCTATTTTAACTTAAAACTTTCTGTTCTATGAGCCTTATTTGTCGTTTTTAAAACCCTTTAATTATATCATTATTTCTGTGATTTTGTAAACACATCCTTTATTATTTTTTTAATAAAAATTAAAGGACAATATATTTTCATATATTAAAAAGGCGTGTACATTTTAAGTTTTTCTGAGACCAGCTGATGTCATTTAAAACACTCTGGGTTTTGTATAGCTTAGGGCTTCAGCAAGTCTAACTTCAGCCCTGCTTTTACGTTATCTCGGAAAGAATTATATTTGAAACAGTTATTATAAAAGTTGAATAAAATATTACAAGTTGAATGTTGGATGTAAATTATAGCAACTTGTAAAAATAGTGACAATTTTTTTAAAAACAAATTAATTTTTAATGTCACAGGTTGTTCTTTATATCGCTATAAATACAAAAATTCTTTGAATGCTAATATTTCATCCACGTGTTGTATCTTTATCTTTAAAACACGTCTGAGTTAAATTTTTGGTATAAACAATAAAAAAATCTACATTTTTTTCATTTGGACATGAAATCGAAATTCCACAATTTTCACTTTACCTCCAGATACCTTCGTGTTAAAATGTCATTCTCGTTATCTCAACGCGCTAAACGTGATTTACCTATAATTTTCAATGGTATCTCTCATTAGCAAAATCCTTCGTTGGCAAAAGCAACGTCTCAGTTACTTTTCAATATTTCCATATACATTTTGTCTTTTCTCACACAAAAATAATTCTCTTATCTCACGTGTAATTGAACGAATCGGCTTAACCGGGAGAAAAGTTGTATCGGAAGGGAAGAGCCGTTCGTGAAACTGTCAACTGGAGGAAATAAAATTAGGCGTCGCTGCTGGCGGAACAATTTAACTTTCCCAGATACCCATAGTGCCTTTCCGTAATTAATTCCTGTAATTATCGACTCCTCGATGCTTCGCTGTCGCAATCTTGCTTCTATTGTTCTCAAGTTAAACACTGTGCAACGATCGGGTCCGTGTGAAATTATTGTTTAAACCGTGAATAATATGGTAGTGGATAGGTATACTCTTCCTAGTAAACATTCAGGAGATTACTGTGAGTTAATCTTCGATTGAAAATTCGATAATCGTGACACGTTGGAGCGATTAATTTCTTCCAAGTACTTTCTCTGCTTGAAAATTTGTAAATGTGAAAAAATCGAGTAGATAATGAACAGACGAAAGGAACAAAATGAAGACCAAATTAAGCTTTCAGATGCAATTGTTATGATTTTCATAATCTTTATGATATGATAATATCATACCATTGTAATTACTTAACTCAACCTAACCGGTGCAATTTTTATGATTCTCGTCTGTGGTAAGTGTCATAAAAATTATGAGAATTACAAAAATCTGCGATAATATCGCAAGAATTATTAAAATTATAGAGAATTTGGTAATTCCAAAATGCCCAGAATTCAGCAATAAAATACCTCTACAAAATAAAAACAATTTTCTACTACATTTTTTAATTAATGTGTCCTCTTCACACGAAGTCCCCTAAAATTAAGGTTCATCCGTTGGAGGTTCAACAAACTCGATGAATTTTCCTCAAACATAACAAAAATTGATTTACGTTAGCATAAATAAAAACAATTTTCTACTAATTTTTTTAATTAATACATCCTCTTCACTCAAGATCCCCTAAAATTAAGATTCATCCGTTGAAGGTTCAACAAGGCTCCCTAAATTTTCCTCAAACGTAACAAAAATTTAGTTAGCTTAGCATAAGTCCCCATTCTAAACCATCACACAGTGCCCTCAAACCTCATAAAATTACAATTCCCTCACACGAATCCGCGAAAATCCTTGAAAAACTGGAATTAGTGTCACCAATACCAAGGTTACGAGAGAACGAGTAGCTAAATAGACGTTACGTGGAAATTATTAGCCTGTGCAACGTGAACGATTGCGCAACACGCGATGTTATAATCTGTTACTTTCTCCCAGCGAGTGGTCGAGCGGTTCTCCTACTGGCGATCGACGAAAGTGACAGTCAGTGTTCTAACGTTAACACGTAAACCAGATTCCACGAAAGTGTTCCACTTGCTCGTCCTCCTCCTCCGACAAATTTCGATTCAATTCGTGAAAAATCGCGAGAAAATCCTTCCAAACACATTTCCGTTCTAACGACAAGTAAAGAGTGATCGTGTTGTTTCATAGCAATCGTGTCATGTTGAACGCACGTGACCTGGAAAGTGAGAAACTTTCGAGGCTGACGAGGATTTTCGACGAAATCGACCGGCTGTTTCAGCGAGATTTTTCGGATTAATCGTCGTTAGAGTGATTCTCGTGGCGATCCCGAGGATTAAAACGGATTTCACCGCTTTGCGTGATCCACGATTGTCGATTGTCCATTTCACGCGATAATCTGTGATGTGTTTTGTCCGCGTGCTGTTATCGAATCGTTTACACGGTTTCTATGGTTCCTTGGAATTGTTCACTTTGTTGCTGGAAACGAGATGACAAGCGGGGATAGCCCGAATTCCGTGGAAAGTTTGGTCGAAAGATGACAGAGACTCGGTGAAGAAAGTGGCGTGGATTTCACGTGGAAAGTGGCCGAGTTATGAGAACCAGTATTTTTTGCACGGACGAGAGAAACCGGAGGAAAATGGCCGTGTCTTGGATGACTCTGTTGTAGGAAGACTGATGACCCTGGTGAGAATATGTGACGGATTATTTCTACATCTTTTTGTCCTTTTCTCCATTTTTTCTTTGCTGTTGTTTTATTCATAGAATTGTTTTTTAAATTTTATTTCTGATGGTGAAAGAGTAGTAATGGTTATAGTGTCATAAAGCAATCCAGTCAGTTGTTAGAGTGCGAGGAAGATTATGTCAGAATATGAATTGTTGAGTATCGAAGCCAAGGCGAACCAGCATCTACGACACGTTTTTACATTTTATCTCGAAACACTTTGCATTTGCATTTGGAACTTTGACATGGCCCTGTTCGTCGTTAAAAAAGACGTTTCAGAGGAGCTTCTCGGTGTACGATTTGCATGATTACGCGTTCCAGTGATCTTTCATGGAAATGAGAGCGATCGTTAATTATGAAATCTTTCGTGTTGGATTGCGGAGGGAGGAGTTATTAAGCGAAAGTAGTTAAAACGCGTAAAATCAAACAGGTTCGAATAATCTCACGTCCTCGAAATTTCTCTTATCCTTAGATCTTGAGATTTCGCTGATTTGAGATCTCGAAGCAATGCAAGCAAAAAGTGAGAATTCTAAGTTCACAGAATGACATCAAAATTCAAGGAGATTTCGGTGATTTGAGATTTTAAAAACGGAAAATAAGAGTTCTAAATTCTCAAAATGTAAAAATTCAATGAGATTTCGGTGGTGTGAGGGTTTAAAACAGTCTAAACGCAAAGATAAAAATTCTGTGCTCTCAAAATGTCAAAAAGAAAACAAAAAAACAAAAACAACGAGATTTCAGTGGTTCGAGGGTTTGAAACAATCCAAACAAAAATTAAGCTTGTTGCTACCAGCACAAATATATACATAAACCCACTGCCAAATCGAGCCAAAAATAAAACACACGCAGCTTCCGATGTACACTTTCCCAGCCTCCTTAAAACTAGACCACTCTTCACACTCAAAACACGCAGCCTCCACCCTCGAATTCACCCCACGAGGCGTTCAGAAACAGGCACAAAGTGCAACGACGTGTCCCTCAAAGCGTGTCGTTGCTTTGAGGCTGACCAGATAAGTGGAGGCGGGTAACAAGGCAGCTCGAGTGCATGAATCCCCCTTGTCGCGGTCGAAAGAAACGGAGGAAAGAGAGAAACAGAGCGCGAGACGCCGCGCCGTGACGACAGAGCGAGAGACGTAAGGATCGTTTCCGTTTTCCCCTTCTCATGTGGCTGATGGCCACGCTAGGTCCGAGAGTATTTGATGCACGGACCGAGTGTTCGCGGCGACGTGCCCGTGCGCTGCGCTGACCAGCTGTTGTCGCGCGTCTCAGCTCCGTCTCGATCCATCGATCTCTCCTACGCACGTATACCTCGCGCTAGATCGCCGTGGTCATGAGCTGGAGCCTCTGAGAGGCGTGAGTAGAGCACTCTTCTACCGTTTTCTTCCAATCGAATGTTTCGTTCGAACGGACAAGTGTTGATTTATGTTGAATTTCTATTGTTCAGAGTGAGTGAGTGAAGTACTTTTCTCGTACAGGTTGAGGGTACTTGGTTGATGCTGGTGGAGGATCAAATGGAATGTTGTATTCGAATGGGCAAGTGTTGATTTATGTTGAAATACAATTTTTTCAGAGTGAGTGAGTGAAGTACTTTCTTCGTTGAGGTTGAGGGTACTTTGTCGATGTTGATAGAGGATCAAATGGAATGTTGTATTCAAATGGACAAGTGTTGATTTATGTTGAATCTTTTTCCTTCGAAAGTGTGTGAGTGAAGTGCTTCTCTCGTGGACGTTGAGGGTGAAGGTACTTTGTTGATGTCGATGGAGGTTCAAATGGACAAGTGTGCTTCGGTTTATGTTAAACTTCTACTTTTTGGAAGTGAGTGCGTGAAATACTTTTTTTCGTTGAGGTTAAAGGTGAGGGTACTTCGTTAAAAGAGATTCAAGTTGAGAATATGTGTTGATGGAAGGCAGAAGGGTACATCTTTGTGCAGGTTGTAACTTAGAGTATATACCTTTTTTTATGAAAGTTGAATTCAAGAAGAGTACTTTGTTGATCGGAATTGTGGTTGAGAATGTTTTGTTGATAGAGGTTAGGGAATACTTCATTGGTAGAAAGATAGAACAATTTTTCGATAGGTTGAGGATATTTTAGGTAGGGTCAATAGTACTTTGTTGATAGAAGTTTCCAAAAAACATTTCCGTTAAAGCTGATCTACTTGTATCGTCCAAAAGTATATCTACAAATTCTCTTCATTGTCTATGAATAAAATATTATTAAAAATTAACCACTCCCACTCGTTATCAATTAAACACGTGAAAACCGTCTTCCCCATTCATCTATCCACCACTCCTATTTACCATCTATTAAACCAATACTCCGACTCTTCCTTATCAACCGAATCATCATCACTGCCTTTATTTATCAACGATTAAACCGCTATGTAAAGTACGTTTATTTGCGATTGATAAAAGGTCAACATCGAACTAAGAAAATTATTCCGTTTCACACATTGTTTTCGTTCTCAGATCATCCGAACAACTTGCGCAACTTTTAATCAGCGAGTGACGAACCCACGTCGTACGTGTTTCCTCGTCATAACGGAGGACGTGTGCGTCTATTTTAAACACATTCCATGTTTCACCAATGTGTTTCGAATTTGCATGACCTCACGTGTCGCGATAAGAGGATCGCGGCGTTATCGTGATCCCACTTGTGCCTGTAGAAAGTACGTCTATTTCCTTAGCACAATTCGATTATTTCCACAGTGGAACAGCAATATTGCAAAACTATTTTCATACGAATAGCAATTTATAGAACAGCTTTTATCAACCATTCGAAGGTTGGAATTGTTTCGGTGAGTGTTTAAGTCACGTGCTGATGAATAATTGGCACACAGTTGGCACAAAGGCTTTGTTCTTCGAGGAATACGTACCCCTTTCTTATTTATATCGACAATTGGAGATTGTTTTGGAGATATCGACGATTGGAATCTAACTGAATTTTTAGCGAAAGTAATTGATTTAGGAACGAGGAAAAAAATTCATCTGCGTTGTATTTTTTCTCTTGCTTTAATTTTATTCCATTCGCTCCCTTTTCCCCTTTATTTCTATTACGTGTACAAAGTAATTCGGTGCCTGTTTTCACAAAGCCTTGACGACTATATCAACTCAAAACAGCCACAATTTTTCAGTCATCCAAATGTCATCCAAAATAGTGGGGACTCCTTTTAACATTAAACTCGATCTTTTGTAAATAAATATTAAAATTTGTGAGAAAAGGCACCGAATTAATTTGTACACCTAATATTTTCTTCCGATTTCTTTCACTCTTGAAAAATTTCCCGTTATCATTTATTTGCCGAATAAACAATTGTCAAACGAGGAAACAGTTTTCAGCGAATTTCGAAGAAAAACACGACCAACAACAATATCAACATTCCGAACAGAGAGGCATGCACAGTGTGTAACAAAAGTTCCCTCACTATGACTTTAACGATTGATTACAGTGAAATGGAAGATAGTAAAAAGGAAAGCGCGATACCTTACACCTTGATATATTTATCTATATTTTTTAAATTGAAGAAAATAATGTTAGCAGGTATCTAAGTGTAATATTTTTGCAGTTTAAGCCTGCAAACTTTCTTTACATACTGTATATACCGTACATGTGAGTCACCGCGTTTGTTTCCTTTCCAGCCGCTCTCGTGTTACTTTTTGCGCCACAAATCTTTCCAGAAGGTCTAATCCATTTGTTTTCCACGACGAATACCAGAAGGGAAAAAAGGAATTCAAAGGAACTTACATCAACGTGCAAACACGTGCGTGTGTGTACAACCAGAGAAGATATCCACGCTGTTTAACCATTTGATCCTATTAGTGCCTTTGAATCATGTGGAACAGGTGGTTGGTAGGATTTCACTGCAACGACCAGATGCACACATAATACCTGATCCGAAGATCGGTGTCGCCGGAAAGTGAAAGCGTGTACACACGCAATCGGTGAACATCGTCGAAAACCTGCAGCATCCACCTGCCACGTTCGTTGATCTCTTTCAGTGTCCATTCACGCGTCATTGCGGAGGTAACCGTTTCTTCTCGTTTCTGTAATCGAGATCCGTCAGCTGACGAATCGATCGAGGCCATGTGAATCGAAATCATCGTGAATTGTTTGTGAAAATTCGGTTAAAATGAAGAAGTAGGCTCGTCGATTTTGAGTTGGTTTGTTTTTGGATTTTGCACGATGTAAGTGAAATTTCCTGCCTATTTCAGTGAGAACAGAAGAGTAGAGTTAGTTACAGAAAAATTCCTATCTTTTGTTTCTCGGGATTGATGGAAGTTTTGTGGGTTGAAATCAGGTAGAAAATCTGTGAAAACTGAAGTTTAAAATGAAGATGGAGGAGTTTGTTTTTGGATTTTCTGTGATGTCGGTGAAAATTTAGGTCTTTTCTTCTTTAGCAGGGAAAGAAGTGCAACAAAGTAGTGAACGTGTGATTGTTTTGAATTTTGTTTTCGAATACGTTTAAATTCGCTAATTCGAGTAAATTGCAATTGAAGCAAATTACAGGTAGAGAAATTGGTGTCGGACATCGTTCATTGGATAAATCGTGTGGTGCTTAACCTAGTTGAAAAGGTTGAGTCTGAAGATAATTAGAACATGTCAGTCGAAAGTAATTAGAAAAGTCGTAGGTGAATTTGTAAATAGAATGCATTATAAGAATCAGTGTATGCGAAAGGTAATCTTTATTTTTAATAGAAGAAAATGTATGATTACCACGACGAGCTGAATTTCTTTCATCTTCGTTAACGAAAAGAAAAATTTGATATCTCGTTCAGGAATCAATATCACTCTCAACAAAATCACAATTTTCATTTCACTCAGAACGAATACAAACATTCCAGAATATCCACAGTGAATCGAAAAGTAAATAATTGGAGCACCGTTTCATAAAAATGACTGAAAATGTTCTTTTGGAAACGACGTTACTTGTCGATTAATGTTGAAAATATCGTAAAACCAACAATCTTCGAAGGAACCACTGTAGGTACATCATGTTCCCACGATAAATGGGCAAAATAGCACAGTAGGTCGATCACTGAAGAGAGGCCAGGGAATCCGTCTTCTCGAGCTAATCGATTGCCTCGCAGCAACGAGACGTTAGGATCGTCGAGAGAAAGCCACAATGGCCAGATGCTGGTCACAGAGCAGGCCAGTTTATACAGACCGCGTGTGTTAGTGGGTAATTAATTTGTTTTTAATGACGTGTCGCGACCGGCGGATGCGGTTGAAAAGCGGTCGAATTAAGTCGAAAGGATGAATCAGAGTAGCGGGGGAAGCGCAGTTTCTGGATAAATCGTACGTTGCCAATTAGCGTTAATCGTGAATGATAACAGGACACGCGGTGAAGATGAAGATTCTGTTCGGCGAGCGTACATTATCTCTGCCTTTGGACGCTCTGCTCTTTTCACCGATTCGAGAGAACGTCTCGCGCGATCAATTGCATGGAAAATTATTCCAACGATGTTTCTGCTTATTTACTTTTTTATTCGGGAGCATTCCTTGCTGATAACAGGATGAAGTGAAGGTTGAAGAGATTTTGACGAATGTTTGGAGGTTTTCTTTGTGAGTATTTCAGAGGAAATTGATTTTTAGAGTTTCTGGGATGGATGTTGAGTTCTTGAGTAGTTAAGTGGTTGAATAGTTGAGTCGTTGAATCATTGTGTTACGGAGTTTTTAAGTTATTGAGTTATTAAGTTACTGAGTAATTGAATTATTGAGTGATTGAGTACTGAATTATTAAGTTACTGAGTTATTGGGTTAGTGAATTACTGAGTTACTGAGTTATTCTGTTGTCGAGTCACCGAGTTACTGGATCATTCACTTATTTATTTACAAACAAACTTTCACATTCTCAATCTGGAATAATTTGAAACATTCATAAGCTCATTTCACGTGTCTCTTGAGTTTCATAGAATCATAAAAATTGCAGCAACAGAATAATGAACTTTTTGCTTCTTCTTCTTCCAGTAGTTCTTAAGAAAAGGGGAACTTGAAACATTGATATGATAAATATGAATACAACTTAGAAGGAAATGTTTGTTGGGACAAGAGTTCGATTAAATTCTAAGGTTCGTTGTCCGTATCATTCGTATGCAAGTACGTAATACACAATGAACCTCTGTTATCCGAATATTCTACAACATTCTATCATTCGAACACTTATCCTTCCACGATGCACAGGCCTAAGTGGAGTAAACTGGGTCGCGAATAGAGTAATGGATCTCTCCTCTATCTTCACTATTTATCTAACAATTTCTTACTAACCTTGATCGAACTTCTACCATGAAAGCCGTGTACGTACTTTCAGATTTATTTATCCGTTCAGATTCATCTCGTGGCATTTCTAGGAAGATACTTTTCCAGTCGTTGGATCGTAGCATTTTCCAACATACTCTTCTCTTTGTAAATCTAGGAAAATTTCAGCAGAGAACCTAAATAACGGAGTACCTGTTCGATTCAAAATTTTTCTAAAATCCTACATGATCGATCGGGGAAATTAATTAAACAAACACTGCAAGTCGTAACACCAGTTACGAAAACCATATCGGACGTTTCATGGTGAGAACGAACGATGAAAATCGCGTGACGTTTGCCTGAAATAATTTTGCGTAAGCAGACCGTAACGTGATAGGATTACGTGGCCAAACGATTCGCGATACATTCTATACCAAGTATAGTGGATCGTCCGTCTCACGTGACGACACCTGTTTGGACCTCTGAATACACGTTTAACAATAAGCCGTTCCGTGAAATGCTCATTGTTCGCGACTCGTCCTTTGTTCGAACGAAATGCACTTGTCCAATTGCGTAATTATTCGTTTTTTTTGTTGTTTTTTCTTACGCATTGTGCATTATCCGCTTCTTTGTGTCAATTTTGATTTTATATTATTGTTGTTTTAAGTATCGTCTGTTTTATGAGAATGATATTTTGAAAAATTGAATTTAACAATTCTGAGATTTAGGATTTCTAATTTGAGAACAGTAAGCTTTCACATCTCAAGTTTAGCAATTGTGAATTTTTTCAATCTCTAATATAGAAATTCTAAACTTTCAAATTGCTCGTTTAGAAATTCTGTGCTTCGTTATTTAGGTTGTACAACTTTTTGATTTTTTCCTTGAGATAGCCGATTCGAAAATTAAAGAATTCTACAGTTGTAAGCCTTGTGATTTTCAATTTAGGAGTTCTGAACTTTGAGGTCTCTAATTTGAGAATTGTAAACGTCGAGATTTTTTAATTTAAGAGTTCTAAGCTTTGAGGTTTCCAATTTGAGAATTTTGAGCTTTGAGATCCTTAATTTGGGAAATCTAGGTTTGAGATCTTTTAATTTAGGAATTCTAAGCTTTGAGATCTTTTAATTTAGAAATTCTGAAGTTTGAGATACCTAATTTGGGAAATCTAGCTTTGAGATCTTTTAATTTAGGAATTCTAAGCTTCGAGATCTCTAATCTAGAGATTCTGAACTTTGAAGTCCCTAATTTGAGAATTATAGGCGTTGAGATTTTTTAATTTAAGAGTTCTAAGCTGTGTGCTCTCCAATTTGAGGATTCTGAGCTTTGAGATCCTTAATTTGGGAAATCTAGCTTTGAGATCTTTTAATTTAGGAATTCCAAGCTTCGAGATCTCTAATCTAGAGATTCTGAACTTTGAAGTCCCTAATTTGAGAATTATAGGCGTTGAGATTTTTAATCGTTAATTTAGAAATTCTATACTTCGTCATCTTTACTTTAAAAAATTGCAAACCTTAAAATCCCCGATTCAAAAATTCAATCTTCCAAAGTATCAATTTTAAGATAAAATTATCTACCCATATCACCAAACTCGATTTCTACTTCTAAACTCTTAATTTCACAATTTAATCATCCCAAATTACACCTTCACTGTATCTCGTTCCAAGAATCTCCAATGTACACGACAAATAATATTCTTAAAAACTTCAAGAAACTATCCATGCTCGCTGCTCGATCCTATTCACCATTATACTTTCACGCCCCTTGCGTCCCCATTCGAGA